CGTGGTAGCGGGCGCCTATAGTCCCAGCTACTCAGGAGGGTGAGGCAGGAGAATCCCTTGAACCCGGGAGGCAGAGGTTGCAGTGAACCGAGATCGTGCCATGGTACTCCAGTCTGGGTGACAAAGACTCTGTCTCAAAAAAAAAAAAAGAAAATAGGTGATGAAAACAGCCCAGGATAAAAACCAAACACGTATGGAAAAGACTGTAAACAATACAAATAAAAGGTTTTGTAGTTCCTCCCGTATTTTTCTACAAAAAGCAGAAATTACAACTTAAGGCTCAGCGCTGAGAGGGAGAGCGTCTTCTCCAAGTCAGGCAGCTGGCTGGGCTATTAGGCATGACAGTTTTATTTTTTCCGAAAGGTCACTTGAAGTTCTCATTACTGGCCTTAACTTTCTTGTCTTCAATGTTGGGGCTGAAGAGAAAGACTTATTTTTTTTTCCATGTAAAACATGCCCTATGGCAACTTGTTAGTAATGTGGGCTCTAACAGCAGACAGACCTGTTTGAATCCCAACGTGTCAGGTTATTAACCCATTTATGCCTGAGATTGAAATTTTTTGAATTTTTGCAATCAGACTTTAGTGACAACTTTGAGCAGCAGGATATAAATAACTCCCACATGCTTAGCATTCCAATAATGGAACACTAGGCATAAATGGGTTTTAAAAACCATGGGCAGATGATGTAACTTCTGAGCCACAGTTTTCTGTTTGTAAAATGGGAGTAATAATTCCTGCCTGTGAAGATTGAATCAGATGCTTCAGTCCACATAAGAGACATGGCACAGTGCCAAGGACATAGTAAATCCACAAGAAACATTAGCTGTTATTGTTACTGTTGTTGCAGTTGTTGGCACTATTTTCCTGAATAGGGGTTCTTTTTAAAAAGCTAACTACTGCCCTCCTTTAAGTTTTTCAAAGGCACCAAGCAGGCTCCCATCTCACCTTGGAAATCACTGATTTGTTTTCTGCTCCTATACTTTTGCCTTTTCCAGCATGTTACATAAATGGAATCATATAGCAGGTAGCCTTCGAGTCTGGCTTCCTTCACTTGGCTTCATGTGTTTGCTGTTCTCCCACGTATTTGGGTGTGTGTGTAGTCCCTTCCTTTTTATTGCTGAACAGTATTCCACTGTAGAACCCAGCAAGAGAAGAAACATGAAGGAAGGTGTTCTTAACTCTGCTGATGATTAAACACATCTGACTTTTACGTAAGACTCGTTTATTTGAACCTATGGATTGTGATGGTCTCGAGCTTCACTGTTCATCAAAGCCATCCACTGAAAGATTTTGTTTTTAATTTCTGATACCTGGAGTCTTATTCCCCTGAGATTCTTGTTCAACTGGTCACAGTGAGAATAAGAGATAGGTTTGTTATTGTTGTTGTTGTTGTTTGAGACAGAGTCTCGCTCTGTCACCCAGGCCAGAGTGCAGTGGAATGATCTCAGCTCACTGCTACCTCCACCTCCCAGGTTCAAGCAATTCTCCTGCCTCAGCCTCCCGAGTAGCTGGGATTACAGGTGCCCGCCACTGCACCCGGCTAATTTTTGCATTTTCAATAGAGACAGGGTCTCACCATGTTGGCCAGGTTGGTCTCAAACTCCTGCCCTCAAGTGATACGCCCACCTTGGCCTCCCAAGGTGCGGGAATTGCAGGCGTGAGCCACCGCATCCAGCCAGAGATGGGTATTGTTTAACAGCTCCGAGGTGACTCTAACATGCAGCCAGGATTGAGACCCACTGATATATCGGAATTGACTTTGCTACCTACCAGTTTTATGATCCAGGACAAATCACTGAATGATAAATCACAACTTTTTTTCTCTTTAGATGGAGAATAATAATAGCTGCCCAGTCTAGCTCACCAAGTTATCATGATAATTAAAATGGTTTATTTTTTATTTTCAGAGACAAGGTCTTACTATGTTGTCCAGGCTGAAGTGCAGTGGTGCAATCACAGCTCACTACAGACTTGAACTCATGAGCTCAAACGATCCTCCCAATTCGGCCTCCCAAGTAGATAGGGCTACAGTTGTGCACCACCACAAACAGCTAATTTTTTTTTTTTTTTTTTTTTTTTT